TTTATCTTTCTTTCTTTCTTTCTTATTATAGAGCAAAATTTTTTATATTACTCTATTACTATTTAAATATTATAATTTTCTAAAATATTGTTATACTTAATCTATACGTTTATTACGTTGAACATTTTATATCTTGCAATGTGTTGTTCTAGCTGGAAACTTGTGCTTATTTTTCAGGCCAGTAAGAATTACGGTTGGGCGAGCAGCGGTTGCAGTATTTTATCCGAAATCGGGACAATGCATCTTGAGTTTACCTACTTGAGCGATATAACGAATAATCCAGTGTTCAAGAGCAAAGTTGAAAATGTAAGGAAAGTCTTGAAGAGTCTGGATAAACCAAAGGGTCTATATCCGAATTATATCCATCCAAGAACAGGAAAATGGGGTCAACGTAAGTGTCTCAATAATTTGCGTTATATTTATATATATGTTCTATATTTTTTATCAATATTCGCAAGTATGTGTACGTGTGTGTATGCGCGCACATGTTCCAGCACGCAAAGATAATTTACTTAGAAAATTATTTATAAATCATTCATTATAAAGGAGTGTATTTTGAAATGTAGAATATTGTGTATTTCTGTCGTTCCTACACAGATAAGTATACGTATCCGTTTCTACATCATAGAATTAATTGCTTTATTCTCACTTTATACTATTCTATTATTTTTGCGTAGACATGAATGACAATAACGTTTTCATATTCATATTTGCATTTTAAATTCGTGATTTAAAAAAATCTTTGAATATCTTCAAGCAGACAATATCAAATCGATAAATATATTTGAGACTTATTATTACAATTTAATAAATCTTTGTATGCGTATATTTTGCACAAAATATATTTTTAATTCTGATTGCTATCAATCATATCGTGAAAATAGTTTTCGCATAGCCGCAGAGTAGAAAATCCGCACAACTTCAATCGTCCCGCTTTTTTCACTATTTCGTATTGCAAGCATTGGCTCATGTTGCTTCGCGAAAAGATGCTCCGCTGCGGCGTCGGCACCGTCTTTACTATAGCCGATCTTGAATATCGCATTTATCATCCTCTGCCTCGGATCCCAAATCCCCTGCGCCTGTGTACCTTCTTACTGCACGTATGACGAAATCCTTGAAGATATATATCATCCAAACCGTTCAGTATCTAGCCTCATCACACATCTTTCCCACATTTTTCACGATTTCTTTTGGACACTCGTATTATAAATTAAAAAGAAAACGTTGCTCAAATAAATAACATTGACTTTTTGATTAAGCTACATTTAAACAAATATATAACAAACCAAAAAATTTTTATACAATTAATACATGTATTTGATGTAATAACTCTCATTATTTAATGCAACTTTACTGATAAAATGTATTGTCATAACAATATGCAATTTATTTGGTGAACCTTTATATCTCTGCCAATGAAAACGTCATCAATCTTTTCGTCATCAATTTTGTTTGATTGAGCACTTTTTTCTTTACGTATAACAATAAAAATCAATATACTATTGAGTTTTTTTAATAACAAGATGTAAAATGAACAAGACGCGTATTGTGCCTTTGCGAATAAAAATCAGTGTTCAAAATGTAACTTGTCAACTTCGAAATCATAATTAACATTCGTTTAACGGAAGTTTAATCTCATGTGGCTCTAATCTTCATGCATTTTCACTGGAGGTAATGTTCGTATCGAGGAAGTAGTGAACAGAAAGATAAAGCGAAACTGTACGTCCTTTTATCACAGATTTCACATAAAGTGAGAACCATGCTTTTAGCCCAAGGCACCTAGGAATTAACCCAGTAGAAATGAAGAAATGTGCCCTTTGTTTCGCCTTCCTCAAACGTGATCGAAGTAGACCTGTAGCGTGGAGAACAAACTCCTCTTTTTCCGGGAAAAGATTCTTCCACATTCCTTTATCTCGCAACGATTACCGTTGCTATCCGTTTTAAAGTGGTATCTCTTTTAAAGCAGTCGCGAACAGCCGTTTTATCTTGCAAAATGAGTCGCCCGCAAGTCTTTAATTTCGCTTTATAACATGAAAAGAATAGAAAATAAGAGCAAAATTGGTACACTAGAAATTTTTGAATAGGAGAAAGCAAATCTTATTATTCACATTCTAAAACATTCTTTAATATAACGCATGACAAAGTAGGTGCGCTCATTTTTAATCTTTTAATCTTTATTTAAAAGAATATTAATACTTCAAAATCTAAAATTGAGTTAATGATTTTTGTGAATATTTTATTATTAATACTAATTATTATAAATAAATGTATTTATTAAGTATATCGATACTGATACAAATTATTATACAGATTACATAAATTTATTTAATAATTAATTATAAATTAACTTTGACAATATTTTAAAAGGTGTATGTAGAATTTTTTTTTCCTTAATTTGAAGAGAATATAATAAGATGATATTATAATCCCAGATTCTCCGTACTTTTCTTTCATTTCTTTATTCTCTTATTCTTTAATCCAAGTAAAGTTCTTTTTATTAATTTGGAAAGCTTTTTATTCTTTAATCTCTCATATTACAAAAGCTATTAACTGACATATTTATCTAGAAATTATATTAGAAATTGATTTTGTTAAGGAATTTTTTTATATAAAAAAGAAAACAGAGATTCTTTGGAATTCGCATAAAATTTACTTACGACAGAAATTTTTTTATGGAAATTACAGATCATATGTCGCTCGGTGGGCTCGGCGACAGTTTCTATGAGTATCTATTGAAAGCTTGGATCCAGTCAGGCAAGGAAGATGTCGAAGCACGTGAAATGTACGACGATGCTATAACCGCTATAACCCAGCATATGATCAAAACATCCCCTGGCAAACTTGTCTACGTGTCGGATTTAAAATATGACAGGCTTGAGCATAAAATGGGTCACTTGGCTTGCTTCGCCGGTAAGTTTTAATTTGCATTAATGTAATTACCATGATTTTTACAGCATAATAGTCAACCTTGCGCAATGATACTCAAGTACATGTTACAAAATGATCCATTTACAAACACTCCATTAAGTATCTACCGTTCAACTTTATGATATTAATTATAGAATTGTTTACTCGATTAAAAAGCTTTAGCATTATAAAATAGAATTACTTTACGTCTTTATATTAATATATAAAAAGCTAATTCAACAAAAGAAACCTTCCGTTAATAAAATTGTTATTGCATGTTTTATAGGCGGTATGTTTGCTCTGGGCGCTAAAACTTTAGAAAACGAGTTGTCTGAAAAATATATGAACATCGCCGCTGGTTTGACCAACACGTGTCATGAATCATATGACAGAAGCGCTACGAAACTTGGCCCTGAAGCTTTCCACTTTATCGAAGGCAACGAGGCCAGAAGCTTAAAAAATGGCGAAAAATATTACATTCTACGACCTGAGGTAAGTCGCCCGCGCTCTCATCCTAAAGTAAAACTAGCGCAAATTTATAAAATATTACTATCACAGTTACGTTTTTTTCTAAAAGTGAAAGAAAGAAAAAAAGAGTCTTCCATATTAGAAAATTATTTTACAAACCATGTTAAATTGCGAAAAAATATATTGTACATGAATTTAACTTCATTTATGTAAATATGATATATTTTCTTTTTTTTATTAAATAAAAAATTTAGTTATTTTAATTATCATAAGTTTGTAAATTTATAACAAAAATCATAAAGTATATAGAAAATAGTTTTTTTGTTTTGTTTTATTGAAGATCGTTTTTTATAAGAAAAATCGATATATTTACTGGATAGTAAAACAAGATACTTCTTCACAGACCTTCGAATCTTACTTCGTAATGTGGCGGTTAACAAAGGATCCAAAATATCGCGAATGGGGTTGGGAGGCGGTTCAAGCATTGGAAAAACATTGTCGAGTTCCCGGAGGATTCACAGGACTTAACAATGTTTACCTAGTCGACTCGGCGAAAGACGACGTCCAACAAAGTTACTTCTTTGCTGAGACATTGAAGGTAAAAAGAAAGAAACATCATTTCGATTCGGTTTATGTTATTTCTCGTAAAGACTGACTTAAATGTTTAATATTTAGACATTTTCAATAATGGCGGCACCTCATAAATTTACATTTAACATAGTACATTTAACATAGCAATTTGATTGATACTATTGCATGGAAAGAATGGTTTTACTAAAGAATTAAAAAATTTAGCTATACAGATCTGAAAATCAAATTTTTTTAAACTATCAAAATAATTATGAACATTCAAACTAATTGTAATTAGAATGTCAAAATTTTTTCAGCATTATTTATCATACTTGAATTTCCTAAAGAATTAAAATTGTTTCTTTCAATAGAATTATTATTAGATCTATCTAGTAGATACAAAATTATTTTTATATCTATCTAAATTTTTAAATACTTTAGCAAAATTGTTTTTTCCTTGTGTAATTACCATTTATTTTCTATTTAATCTATATAAATATTTTTGACATAATATTTTTTTATCAGATTTATAATATATAATATATAATAATATTTATAATATTTTTTTAATTAAAGCATTTATAGAAGCAATATGAAGTAGATATAATATAACGGTAAAGAAATTTTCCAATAAAAAATATTATTTAATACTTGAAATAAGAAGAGAAAAGGGGAGTTTAATAAAAATATACGTATGTCATGAAAGTATAATAATAGATACGAAAATATGAAATGTGAAAATATTTTGTTCTTTTTCCAGTATCTTTATTTGCTCTTCAGCGACGACGATCTCATAAGTCTGGACGACTGGGTATTCAACTCCGAGGCTCATGTGCTTCCTATCAAGGGCAGTCCTCTGTACCGCCCAGCTCCCTCTTTATAAGCCAGACAAGTTCACGACATATTGAACGATACTGACAATTCTCGTTCGGCAGTGATGGAACCGACAGACATATATACATATGTGTATATATAATATATGATAATATGACGATACACAGTGGATTAAAATTATACAGCGACAGAAGATTTAAGAAATTTATTTCGAATTGACAAAGCGCTTTTTTAGCTAATTCTTTCTTTTCATAATATTATATTGCAAAAAACATTTCTGCTGCGACGAAACTATATACGATTGCATTTGTTCTTCTTCTATTTTCATTCATTCATTATAACTTATACAAATGTTCACTTTACGATATAAAAGATGTTTATTTATAAACGTTATTATGCGATTTATTTCAATTTTGACCCATTGTGTACATAATAAAATCGCAAATTAATGAAGAGGATAAAGAAGAATTAGTCTTCGCGCTTAGAGCGAATTGATACATTTTAAATTAAAATAATTATTTTAGGTAAAGAAAAGAGAGAAAAAGTGAGAGAGAGAGAGAGAGAGAGAGAGAGAGAGCGAGAGCGAGAAAATTGAGAGTGAGAAAAAGCAGAATGAAAATATTAACGAACGTTATTTAAGCTACACGTTTGTAAATAGCAAAAATAAAAGAAAGCGAGAATGTGAGAAAATGAGCGAGAGAGCTATGAAAATAGAAAAATATATTGCGAGAATGTGAATGCTTTGCCATTTCCTTTTTCAGCCGCAGCGCCAAGCGATCTACTTCACACTTAAATGTATATTTGTAACATTAACATTTTTAATATCCTCTAAAAATCACGGCAGGGTAATCGATGATTCATTAGCATTCCTTTCTTTTTCATCAATAGTTACGTTGGAGAAATTTAACTCTCCAAAAACAGATGAAAAAGCATTATTAAGAAAATCTTAATAATTGTGGAATATTTTATCACATTATAAGAAATAGATTAAATTAATGTATCAAATTGTTAATGACACCTATTTAGTATTCTGTGAGAATGTCTCTATTTTTTCAAATGTTAAGTTTTGATCGCGTACGAATTCAGTGTATTAATTGAAACTATGTGTGAACTGCTTTTATATAGCCGAATGAGGATAAATTTTACGTCTATACCAAGCATCAATATAAACTTGTTTTGTAAAACTTTGAAAATAAAACTGTCAGTCAATCAAAAAAAAATAAAAAATAAAAAGAAGAGAGGAAAATAGCGATAAATCGTCGAACCATCGTTTAAAAAAACGTCCCATACAAAGTTTTGTAACACTAACACTTAACGCGTCTCTTTCCCCGTTTTTTATCGATATTCCTCAAAAAGATTTTGACTATCCAACAATTTTGCTATCGAGTCCAATCTCTCCCAACCTCCTGAATTTTTTAACAAAGGAAGAAAGGAGAAAGTATACAAACCAAACTGTCATTCTCACGATTGCGGTGCGAGCGTGCGTGCTTTTTGTATGGTGTGCTAATCGAAGTAGAGAATGAAATAAAAAGGAAAATCTGAAAAGGGTGTAGACCGAATGTACGAATGCGGTCGCGCGTTTGCAACGGCGATCATCATTGCAAGTCAGTCGAATATCGTAGTTGTAAAACAGTTAACTAGCAGACAATTAACTAGCAAAGTCTAATGAGAGGTAGAGAGTGTATATAAAGATTACAAGAAAGTCATATTCTATACGAAGAGTGCGAGATACAGAATGGGATTGTAGAAGAAACACCATATAATTGTATAGCGCTTATACCAATTGTAAGAATTGATTCGTCCAAATTGGATTTTGCAATATCCAACGAGAAACAATTATATACAAACAGTAGCATATATCTCAAAGACACACATTTTCGTGTTCAGGATCGGACTTACAATTGTAATTACAGTTAAAAGAACTTCTTTTCAGTGATATCAATCGTGACTAGCAATCGCAAAGAGACTCTGACTTTTTACAAGTCCATCTCATGAATGAGCTTTTGTAAAACATTTTTCTTCAGTAAATTTGACCCTGATGGTGTCTCTTATTGAATTTTCGAACAATCAGCATCGCACTTATCGATGATGAGAACGGCCGGAAAGTTACTTAATGTATACATAATGCAGAGCTGTAGCGCGACGGTTTTCCGATAAGATGAGGTTCCAAAGGCGAGACTTCGAAACATCATCTTCAAACGCAAAATAGAAAACACACACACACACACACACACAAACAAACAAACACACAGATAGACAAATAAACAAATAGGAGATTTATATTATGAGATACATACACGCGCACAAACCGCGCGTAAACGTTCACTCTTACGCGTCCAAATGAAGCAAAATGATTAGATGCGTGATTATACATTGAATTTAAAGCGTGACAGTTGATAATAATCATATTATTTTCGTTTTTTATGTCAGACTGCGTCGACCTCCAAGAGGTTCTATCCATGATGTTTGTTAGATGTCAATACCATTTTATCAAGCATTTATATTAAAAAATCTAAAAAAGTGTTACACCAATAATCAACATTAATCATTAAAATGATTAAATTTTTATTTTACTATTGTAATTAACAATGTAATCCAGGAAGGATCTACAATTAAAATGATCTTTGTTTAAAATAGTAATATATTTTACATTTTATGTGTGCTTAAACTATTATTTTTGTATACTGACTATTGTATATGACTAGTTAACTATTGGTGTAACTCACTCGAAATGATTCGCAAATAAATATATGATATCTCTATACCAGAAGATGTCATAGAGAAAATTCATTTGTAACACAAGGTTTATTTGGTATTATAGATAATTCATTTATTGATAATAATTGAAATGAATTGTTAACAATTAGATTTTATGGTGAACTTTGATACTCGTAATAGATGTTCATAGCGACCCACAGGTGACTATCGTCTCACAATACGTTTCAATTCTTAAAATTTTACCATGAAATCTTGCAAACTTCCGGTCCCCACATTAATAACACACAGGTACAGTAAGCCGTAGATGGTGTATATATAAAAATAGTGATAATGACATCGAGAATGATAGCGAGAATGGCAGTGTCCGGCGATGATAATGATAGTAATAATAATAGCCTATACATACATTTGTGAATAGATATTTAATAATTTATTGTTACTAGAGTATTTTACTTGGACTACTTCACTGAACGGGGTTTTGGGTACAATAATCTTTTCTTGTGGGAGTGATGGCGCTTACAATTTGTTTATTTGAATAAGATAACAAGAGAAATGGAAAAAAAACAAAACTTTATTAGCTTTACTCGCTTGATCTTTGAACGAGAAGCGATTGTGCGCCAGAAGAAATATATATATACATATATTGGATGTGATATATATATAGATACATACATATATGTATATATATTTACAGGATAATATATGTATATATATATGAAATAATATATATATGAAAAAATATATATATTAAAGAAAAAAAAATATGTCACATAAAAAGTTTTGTCAGATACAAACTATACTTGTAAATATAATATACAATCTAGTGATAACGGGGTTTTACTTTTAACAGCTTTACGTAATTATTACTTTGTCATGATCAGTGAAATAAATAAATATTGATAATACATTATAATCCACTGTCAATTTCCATTCTCCCAATTTTAGAATCCAATTTTATTCCAATTTTTAGAATCAATAATAATTAGCAATCGATACAGTTTAATGTATAGTTTTATAAACATGATATAAAAACTTCATAAATTTTGTTTTAAATTAAAATACATAATTATGATGTAATAAAATATAATAAAAATTAAATATTATGGAATGATTACTGTAATTATGTTAATTATATCAATGTTAAATCAAGATTTGACAATCTTAAATGAATTATCATTGCATCTAACGAATTCTTATAATAACGCCCTTTAAGCAGGTTTTTATTTTATTAAGCATGTGATCACATATACACAATCAGAAAATTTAAAATCGCCTATACATTACGAGTAATTTCACTTTCTACTGACTAACTTCAAATTGTACTTAAAGAATTATTTAAAACATTCGTAATCATGAATTAATCGTAGTTATACTAGTTAATAATTTAAATACCCTTTATTAAATTAAAGTAAGATCTCTATTTGATAATGCACATTATAATAATTTTGCTTTACTGCTGTGCAATCTATAAAATTTTTTATTTCTTCAATAAATGTACAGCAACAATTATACATAGTGTAAACAAGAAAATAAAAATTAAAAAATTAGAATTTAATTAATTATTGCAGCAATCATAAAATTTGTGAACTTTTTATCTCTTTATTTCTGAAAAATATATTTTATTATTTTCTTGCCAATAATATACTTTTCACTTTACGTCATAATCCTATGAAAAAATACTATGAATTTTCAAGGAGACACTGCCACCTCTGCAGCCATAGGAGGCAGTCTAACATGAAGAAGTGAGGAGGAGGAAGAGACAGAAAATTAGAGTTGAGCGCGATCAGTCTCCCTCGTGTCGCGCATCGCTTCGACAACGTTTATACCGATAATCGTGGAACGGATAATGTCTAGTCGCGAATGTTTCTGAATTCATTGTTCCAATTTAATTTTTTTATTATTATCAAAAAAGTCTTTCACGCTCAAAAATATTTCACGAAGTAACACTTCTCAACTCTTTTTGTGCCAATTTCGCGAAAAATTGATAGACCGATGGAAATTATTAATAATGCAGTTTAATTTATAAAATATTGTAAAAAAAAAGAGAATTTGCGAGAAAAGAATAAATTGTTGCATTAAGAATTGCCTGTGATTTTGTCAAATTGGCCCTCGATTGCATGGCATCGCGATACAGCTGATAACGAGACCGGAAAAGTACCATTACTTCGGTACCACAGCAAACAGTCTTCACTGTTCTCTAGTATCGCTCTTTCTCGGTACAACCGGCCCTATTAGTGAAGTGCGATCTAAATATAGATAAGAACGCGTGTTTTTGAAATAAATCGCGTTGCTCTTCTTATCTCAATTTAGCGTGCTGTTGAAATCAAAACTTACGCATCGGCGCTATCGAAGACTTTCGTACCATGAAGAGGTTCGTCTTCCGAATTCTTTTTACGTCTTGCGTTCTAGGTGAGTTTCCATTAATGATTTTATAACGTTACAGCAATAATTTCAAATCAATTAA